TTGACCGGCATGTAGGTGTAAACAGAGAGGTGTGGAGGAAACAGGGGGTTAATGAGAGGCCAGGCGCCTCCCAGTCACAATCCCACCCCATCAAACCGCTGCTGTCTGCCTCCACGGCAGTGTCAGTGGGGGCGTAGGGATTGTTTACTTAGTTTGGGTTGTCAGTAATGTTGAAAACATTTGTGTGCAGCGCCACAAGACAGAAAGAATAAACTTCTGCAATGCTATTTGAACTTATGAGAAATATTCACCAGCCTCCAAACGTCTGTGTATTGACAATAAGGTTAGATTAGATGAAACTTTATTAATCCCTCGGGTGGGTTCCTCCGGGAAATTCTAATTCCAATAGCACAGCACCAACAGAAGTTACAGAATGTGAGCAGAAATATACCATATATACACATATATAAATACAGAGTATACAAAAGGGATGAATAGAATAAATAGGAATAAGAATACAAGGGAATTGCACATTTCAAGTATGTGAGTCTATTGCACCGTTGACTATTAACAAAAAGTATTGCACAGTGAAAAGGCACTACAGCTTAGTTGTTCCCCCCTGCTTTGTCCTCCTGTTTCCCCTCCCTCTCCCCTCCAGAGAGGAGTTAAAAATCCTTTGTGTGTGGGACAAAGGAGTTTTTAAGTCTGTTGGTTCTTGACTTTAGGAGAAGCAACCTGTCACTGAACAGACTCTTCTGGTTGTTTATGACCGTGTGCAGAGGATGCCCAGCATTGTCCATAATGTCCAGAAGTTTCTTTAGTGTCCTTTTCTCTGCAACTGTCACCAGAGTGTCCAGCTTGATGCCGACCGCAGAGCCAGCCTTCCTGATCAGTTTTTCCAGCCTGGGTGAGTCCTTCTTTGCTGTGCTGCTCCCCCAGCACCCCACAGCATAGAACAGTACTCCAGCAACCACCGACTGGTAAAACATCCTCAGGAGCTTCCTGCAGATGTTAAAAGCGCGAGGTACTTGTATGTGTTGACCACCTCCTCTCCCTCTATCTGAACTGGCACTGGACCTGCTCTGGACCTCTGGAAGTCCACAACCACTTCCTTGGTCTTTGAGGTGTTGAGTTGCAGGTGGTTTGTGTGACTAAATGTGACAAAGTTCCTCATCAGACTCCTGTACTCTTCCTGATCACCCCAGATACACAGTTTATCATTTAAACTGTTGCTTTTTATGCCATTCTGCTATGTGTTTTAATGTTTTTTAATTGCTCTTATTTGATACTTTACAAAATATAAAAAATTGGAAATGTATGTCTAAGTAACAAACAAACAAATAAAGTAACAGTGACAGTGCAGCAGTATGAAATTAATTGCTGGAAATAAAATGTAACTATCGTGCGTTTGAGAAGCTGAATGTGTTTGGTACCCTGTCATCGTACACAACCCGAGGATATATCAGCGAGCCTTTAATCTTTCCCAGCGAGTCTGCCACATGTACAATGACATGTCCTATCCTGCCCCATCATCTTACACTTTGCTACAGTAGCTTATTGTAAACGCAGGAGCAGTTCATACTTGCTTAAATATTTGTAGTTTGGTTTATCCTAATTTCCTATCTTACTTCAAAGCAAAAAGAAAGAAATACAGTGTTCAGACAAGTTAGAGTCACTCAATACAGAGCAGAGAATTAATGACAGAGGCACAGCACTTTGCTACTTCGCCTAAAGATTGTTATGGACATTAAAAAAGTACTCTTCAGGGCAATACAGAACAACAAAGTGGGATACTTGTAAGCTGATTCATCAGTAATGTAATGCTCTATAATTAAATCCAACTTAACCTGCTTAGACCCAGGGAAGTCCCTTTATTGAACCCCACCTATATTGTGTCCTGTTGGTTCTATATGTTACGTAAACTTCCTAATTACTGTCCACATATACAGAACTGGGTAATAGTCTTCAGCCAACCCATATTTTTAATGCTCTGTTTCCAAAGAGCCAAACTTCTTTATGTTTATTTGTAGGCTTTTAGAACAAAAGTTCTTCAGTCTTCCTGAACATCTTCCAGAGTTTTTCTTTGTACATACAGTGGGGCAAAAAAGTATTTAGTCAGCCACCGATTGTGCAAGTTCCCCCACTTAAAATGATGACAGAGGTCAGTAATTTGCACCAGAGGTACACTTCAACTGTGAGAGACAGAATGTGAAAAAAAAATCCATGAATTCACATGGTAGGATTTGTAAAGAATTTATTCTTAAATCAGGGTGGAAAATAAGTATTTGGTCACCTCAAACAAGGAAAATCTCTGGCTCTCACAGACCTGTAACGTCTTCTGTAAGAAGCTTTTCTGTCCCCCACTCGTTACCTGTATGAATGGCACCTGTTTGAACTCATCATCTGTATAAAAGACACCTGTCCACAGCCTCAAACAGTCAGACTCCAAACGCCGCCATGGCCAAGACCAAAGAGCTTTTGAAGGACACCAGGAAAAGTATTGTAGACCTGCACCAGACTGGGAAGAGTGAATCTACAATAGGCAAGCAGCTTGGTGTGAAAAAATCAACTGTGGGAGCAATCATCAGAAAATGGAAGACATACAAGACCACTGATAATCTCCCTCGATCTGGGGCTCCATGCAAGATCTCATCCTGTAGGGTCAAAATGATCATGAGAACGGTGAGCAAAGATCCCAGAACCACACGGGGGGACCTGGTGAATGACCTGCAGAGAGCTGGGACCAAAGTAACAAAGGTCACCATCAGTAACACACTACAACGGCAGGGAATCAAATCCCGCAGTGCCAGACGTGTTCCGCTGCTGAAGCCAGTGCATGTCCAGGCCCGTCTGAAGTTTGCCAGAGAGCACATGGATGATACAGCAGAGGATTGGGAGAATGTCATGTGGTCAGATGAAACCAAAGTAGAACTTTTTGGTATAAACTCAACTCGTCGTGTTTGGAGGAAGAAGAATACTGAGTTGCATCCCAAGAACACCATACCTACTGTGAAGCATGGGGGTGGAAACATCATGCTATGGGGCTGTTTTTCTGCCAAGGGGACAGGACGACTGATCCGTGTTAAGGACAGAATGAATAAGGCCATGTATCGTGAGATTTTGAGCCAGAACCTCCTTCCATCAGTGAGAACTTTGAAGATGAAACGAGGCTGGGTCTTCCAACATGACAATGATCCAAAACACACTTCCCGGGCAACAAAGGAGTGGCTCCGTAAGAAGCATTTGAAAGTCCTGGAGTGGCCTAGACAGTCTCCAGACCTCGACCCCATAGAAAATCTGTGGCGGGAGTTGAAAGTCCGTGTTGCTCGGCGACAGCCCCAAAACATCACTGCTCTCGAGAAGATCTGCATGGAGGAATGGGCCAAAATACCAGCTACTGTGTGTGCAAACCTGGTAAAGACCTATAGTAAACGTTTGACCTCTGTTATTGCCAACAAAGGTTATGTTACAAAGTATTGAGTTGTATTTTTGTTATTGACCAAATACTTATTTTCCACCCTGATTTACGAATAAATTCTTTACAAATCCTACCATGTGGATTCATGGATTTTTTTTTCACATTCTGTCTCTCACAGTTGAAGTGTACTTCTGGTGCAAATTACTGACCTCTGTCATCATTTTAAGTGGGGGAACTTGCACAATCGGTGGCTGACTAAATACTTTTTTGCCCCACTGTATGCTGCTTTTTCAATCACTTCTTTTGCTTTTTACATTGGTTTTTTTTTTTTTAATCATTTATTTATCCAGGTAAAAGTCTCACTGAGATTCAATTTTCATTTCCAAGAGAGACCTGGTATTTTTCAGTACAATCCTTGTACCTGACCATTGTCAGAGGAATGTAAGCCACTTAATACTGACGTAGGAAACATTCAAACATAAAGTCACCTAGCTTTAGAGATGAACTAATGTTGTGTCTACACTTAACAGGCAATTTAGCAAAGAATCACAGAGATCTTATCACTGCCAGCTGGTTGCAAAAACAAATAATTTGTTCCCATTTATTAACTTAAATCTACAGACACAGTTTGATGGGCTTAAATTATTATTTTTGCAGCAATGACGGTGATTCCAAAAGAGATATTAGCTTAAAACTTGGTGTGCAGCAAGTCCTTAACAACTTTAAGGAAACTGCACAAGTTGAGGATAAAAGAAACCAAAGAAATTAAAGCAGAGAAACAGTATCTGAAAATCATAGTGAAACAAAAATCCAGCAAAGACCTGACACGGGGCCTGAGAGATACAGTAGATACATCTACTGTTCACTGAAGCCTCATCAGAAATGGTGTCAGAGGAAGGGTGTTTGTCAAGAAGCCGTACGTTCTTCACAAAGGGAGTCAGGAAGAAAAGTTTGAGGTATGCCAAATTACACATGAACTGGACTGAAAATGAGTGGAAACAGGTCTGATGGAGTGATGAACCTTTTGCGTCATAAGATTGTTCTGTGTAATGTGTATACAGCAGGTCAGGAAACAAGTACAACACAAACTGTTTATAAAATATGGTGGCGACTCTGTAAGGTTTTTGGCTGCATTTCAGCCAGTGTTAAACCTGAGATTTCTTTCTGATATACGCATTTCTAATCCTGCCAATCCTTTTCACTTTCAATTTTAAAAATCATATCATCTGCAGCTCTGCCACCTCCAGCTCGCTACTTAAAATCAGGTCTCATTACCATCTGGCACAAATCTCACAGGACGCTCGTCTTCACCCACTTCACCCCGGCTCCACTCTAACCCTAACCTCTTTTGTGCACTGTCCATTGATTTGGATGGTTAACCCCAGGTATTTAAACTCATCTACCTTCATTGCGTCTTCACCGTTACAAAAAACAGTACGTAAACAAAAAATACATAATGAAACCATCAAAAAGCAACATACTAAAAATGTCGTATATTAGTATTAATATATTATTCATTTCCTCGCGACCCTGAAAAGGATAAGCGGAAGCGAATGGATGGTTTGATATTATCTATTTATTTATCATTAATTCAGTTCACCTTTAAAGTTTCCTCTTCACGTGACGAGGTCCGACGTCGCTTCTCAAAAACCGGAAGTGGTTCTTGTGTTGTTGCGTTAGAGCTACTGTCATGTGATAGCTCGCCCGAGAAGCTGCTGCTGCTTCTGACAGTAGCTCCTTACCTTTAGATGAGGTTATAATACAACCACGCTGGAGACAACTTTTATGTTTGCTAGAGAAGAACAGCACGACTGGTTTCTGACGGAGAGAAGGGACGCCGGGGTTGTGTAGTGTCGGCCGTCGGACGTTGCCATGGGTTGCTGTTACAGCAGCGAGAACGAGAACACAACTCAGGTAGTTAGCTGTTAGCAGGCTAAACCCAATATGTGAAAGCTGGGCAATTTAAAAGTGGAGTACCTAATAGTATATTATCCCTTTGGGCATATTTCCCCACAGACGGTACACGTGAGTAATGCGTGACGACGTTAACAAGTGGTCGTTTTCTAGGGGCTAGCAGCTTGCTACTGTAAGCTAGCCTTTGGCTAGGCCTTTTGTGAAGTACAAGCCAGTTAAGTTAGCCAAGATGATAAACAGTCTGACTTCAGAAAGCTTTAACAGATCCAGAGGCAAAGAGATGTTTTGATGGTTTAAAAAAAAAAGTTATTTACTTATATAAATGGTTTTAAAGCGAGGTGAAAAGTAAAGAATAAGTTGCTAACGTGTTAGATAGGACAAACGGCAAGGTGAGGGACATTTGGGATTTTACTTTCATGTAGTCATATGACCCTAAAGATTCCCAGCTATTTTTAGTTTAGAGAAACAAGTCATTTCTTCCTCCATGCATCTTTCCAGTTTAAAGGAGCAATGGGGACAGAATGAAGATCTATCTTTCTCTGCCTGCCTGTGTTGTGCTCATATATTTGTTTTAGACTGAAGAAATTACTTTTGGAGTATTTGTAAGAGCACCACAAGTTGCAGAAGTGATACTTTGTGCGTTGTTGCATTACTATAATGTAATTATATTAACTAACACACACACACACACACACACACACAAAATAATGAAGTAAAATAAATAAAACAAAATAAATGATAACTTTAAAGTGGTCTCAACTGTCATAATTAGCTTTGATTTAGAAGGAAAAAGAAGTAAGTTAAATTTCTTGATTTGTTTAAGGAAGAGACAAAGCCGCTCATCTCCCCGAACCCTCCCAGCAAACCACTAAATGGCGTGACCGGCTGGAACCCTGGAACTAGCTCATCAGCGCTGTCAAATGAACAGGCCCTCCTTTCTTCCATCCTGACAAAGACGGCACAGTAAGACCCTCCTTAATGCAAATGTAGCCATGCCACTGACAATAACGCAAGAGTGTCTGTGTAATAAACATACCGTTATCCCCCTGTACATCAGGAACATCATCGACGTCTCAGCAGCAGACGCCATCATGGTGGAGCCGCATGAGTACATGGACAGAGCTCGACAATACAGGTGTGCAAATAGACGGTTTATGGCTTGATGGGTTTTGTTTACTGGCTCATAATAATTTTGGATGGCTCTTCAGCATGTTGTTTGATTTCTACCAAACAGAGCAGCCTCGTTTACACTAAAACACAGGTGCAGGTTAAACACTAGCTCCTCAAAGCACAGTCTACTGGTTTAAGAGAACTTAAATAGCAGCACAGCTATTTTCTTTATGTTTTTCTCTCTTCAGTACAAAGATGACTGTATTGAGCACCAGTCTGCCTCAAAACAAAGCCCTCGCTCTCCCCTCCCTCACCAGCCAGCCCCACCAAGTACTTGCGAGTGACCTGGTGCCATACTCAGATGTTCAGCAGGTATCCATCCATATGTAACATACTCTGATTGAATGGGGCTGTGTGATTCCTGTGCAGAATCCCCAGTCATGTCATTTTAAAGACAGCTAAGCGGTTAGAATTTGACTTCTCTTTTTTCTTTGCAGGTGTCTAAGATAGCAGCCTATGCTTACAGTGCAATATCTCAAATCAAAGTGGATGCTAAAGAAGACTTGGTGGTCCAGTTTGCCATTCCCTGATTCTGCAACTCTGGCCTGCATATTGTTGCTCCAGTCCCACTTTCTTCGTGTCACTCCTGCATCCTCAACCTCCAGCCCCACCCGTCATTAAACATTTTGGTCCTCCTGCTTTCTGCTTTAAACTGCTTCAAAGACGAAGACAATGTAGGGTCTTACCCCATGGCTGTCCTCGAGTGTAATTAATTTAGTGACAAATGGAAGATGGGTTTGAGCTCGTATGTACATCAGCGAGGCCTCCAGCTGTGGAAATCAAACTTTTTGATGATCTCTTAAAAAAAAAAAAAAGTTTTCCACGGGTGTTTTTAGTTTCTTTGTTTTCTGAGAATCAGAGCTAGCTTGTCACCTTGCTGATACCTATGTTGGACTCACCTGGGATAAAGCTGTTGGATTTTTGACACAAAGCTGTTGGCTGTTGGTTAATACAATGCATTTGATAAAGTCTCCACTGAAAAAAAGGGATCACTGTGGCGTGGAATATCGCAAATAATCACTGCACCACATGTTGAATATGTTATTTACCAGGGGAATAAAAAGCAAAACAAAACCACCAAACATGATTTAATCTTAACTCTTCATATATGTTTAGCTCTGTTTTACATCCTTGATGTCACCAGAAATTCTTCAGTCTTTATCCCTGAGCAACAAAATGTTAATGTTAATATTAGCACCAGTAAAAAGGAATGACACGCTTTTTCTCCCAAAATTAAAATGTTATCGTTTAGTGGAGTATACTGGCAACCATAAACAACTCACACTAACCTAGTTAGAGTGAATTTCAATGACATTTGACAGTGACGGTGGAGTAATCTGTTATTCTAGTCGAGGCCAAACCTTAATAACCTTTCCTTGGCTGGTGGGTGAGGATGCAGCTTTTCTTGGGTCACAATTCTGGAGTTTACAGGTGGCGCTGTGTCCTCTGCGCTTATCTAGCATTAAATAAACGAGCAGGCCAGAAGTTCAAGTGTAATATTCAAAGATGAAAGTGCGTGGTTGGGTGTGTGCGAGTGTGTGTAGGGACAGATATTGTGTCTTCATGCCTTTGTACAGAATTTTCTGCTTGAATATAAAAACTAAACATGATGGATTGTATGAAGTCCCTCCTTTTTGTAGAGACTTCACTGGTCAGAATTGGCTAAGATCTTGTGGCGATAAGTTTTTATGAAACACAAGAACCCTTTTAAGGCCTGCATTTGTTAAGCTTTTAAACAAAGAGGTTTCCCCTGCAGATTGCAATATGATTGGATTCGTTCATAATCAGAAACTAACCGTTACAGCAGTGCAGCAGGGGGCAGGGTGTTAACAATCAGTCTATAGCAGCAAATAAAACGAATTGATCCCTTTTTGTGATTATTTATTTCTGTTTCTCGAGTATATATTTGCTCCTCGGAGGAGAGCACGACTGTATGCGTGGGCAGGGAGCACGGTGAAGCGCTCTAGACACAAAAGGGATAATCTGCTAGGCTTTGATTATTTAAACCACGCAACTGATCTGAGCTTTTTGCAATGGGTTCTTGGCATTTTTTCCCCCTTTATGTTTGTTACTCAAAAGTGTAATACTACCTGAAATATGTTTGTAATGTCTTAGGCTAGTACCAAAAAGTTTTAGTTTTGTTTTTTGTTTTGTTTAATTCATTAAAGACTTTTAACAAATCGCTCCTGTCCTGACCCCAGTGTGCTCTTATGTGAGATGTAATTATTCAGTGATGCTACAGAGATGGTCAACAGCACTTTCTTTAATTTAACTTTGTTGCAAACAGTATTAAAATATTTCCAAAACCCACATGAATGATCAGATATCTGGATGTGAATGACAACATTTTGTGATCTATGGATAAAGAACACAGTAATGTACTACAACACTACTAATTCTGAAGAACGGTTATTATCAGTGGCCTCATCAATCAGCCACGCTTGAGTTAACTGATTTAAAGAAAAGTCAGGTGTCTCTTTTTTTATGCTTTTTTTTGTATACTGCCTTTAGTATATTTAATAAAGCCATGCAAAATTACTATTAAACTTAGTTCTGAGTTATAGGCCGTGCTAGTAAGCAGAAGTAGGCTGAATTTTGTCACTTTATGGCCTGTTTTGAGCTCATACCTGCTCAGTACAAGAGATTACTACACAAAATGCAACACATATAAGCTCTTTTTTTTTTTTTTTGAGAAAAAGGTGAGAGATTGTGACATACCCCTTGATATTAATGCTCAAAGGGTCATTGTTTCCCAGAGCCTCTCCCTCTTCTTTTTTATTTTTCTCTCTGTGACCCTCCTGCTTTCTCTGCAGCTCTCAGTCACCTTCTCATATACTCTTAGTATTTAAGGACTGGCTTGCCAGCCATACAATGCCAGATCATACAGCTAGATTTTTAATAGTAATGTCCGCCTCTTTATTCAGTGTTTGGATTAATCCCTTTATGTGTGCTTCATGCTTAATAAAGTGTGCACTTGACAAATAGGTAAAGAGTATCAGTTTATGGATGGAGACGAGCCAGCAGTCACTGGTTAACCTTGCTGCTCCTGCAGCGGCTGTTGCTCTGGTGCCAGATCTTTGCCAAGACTCGCTCCTGTCGCGTTATGGCACTGAAGTCCATTGTCTTTAACCGAGGCAGGACGGTAATCACACGATTCCTACATACAGAAAGACGCCCAATAAATATCTCAGGCACATTTTGTAGACATTTATACAGAAATAACACTGAATACTAAAAAGGCCTCGTCTTTGCAAACGCATCCAAACTTTATCTTGTGTAACCAGCACTGCAAACATGCTCTAAATGAATGAAGAAGCTGCTGTCACTCATTAGAAATCGGTTTTAAACAGAGGCGCCTCTGTCTGCAGATGGACATGAGCCTGCAGTCACTGCACTGTATGTGTTTTTTTAACCGGTGTTGCTATGCAGACTAGGACAAGTAATATGAACCCTATCTGCATTTAAGCACCTGTTACAATGTTATGAACTTAGATGCTTGCCGTGCACTCATGTCACACTTACAGACATCTGCAGAATGAGAGCAATCCCTCATTCTACACCTCTGAGGTGTCTGAGCTTCTGATTGTCTGGACTTGGTTCTGTAAACAGCAAACTATCATCAGCTTCTATAAAATATCTCCCATTTAAAACACATTAAAGCTCCCTGGGACATGTGTGACGAGTGTTTAGTGTAAAATACAGTTGAGAAAATCTCCACCTGTATGCCTTGTTGGTTTCTATGACATTTCCATGCAGAGTGATGGTGTGCAGATGTGGCAGCACTCCCAGCCTGTCCACCTCTGACAGAATAAAAATGCTGTTTCCATGAAGGTACAACACACGCAGTTCACGCAACTCACACAAGACCTGGAACACACATGTGTACACCAGCTTCAGATGTACTTCAGATGTAAAAGAAAGACAAGCAGCTGCTGATAACGACACTCACGTGGTCTATGTGTGTGATTTTGTTGAAGGAAAGATCCAACCAGGTTAGATGTGCCGGCTGAGCCAGGAAATGGCTAACAGTCTTCTGGAGGTCATGAAGCTCAGTGATGTTGTTGTTGTTGAGGCGGAGCGAACAGCTGAGATATTTCATCTCTGAATTTTTCTTTAGAGGCCGCAGACCGCTGTTGGGCTCCTCTATCCATGTGTCTGAAACCCCAAATAAAATAAAACATTATTTTATGAATATTAAGTGAATATTAAGTGCTACTACAGTACGGGCCTGTGATTGTGTTTGACTTTATGTGCTGTTGTATTAGTGTTGCCATCTTTTTCATTAATATAAAGGACTTGAGGCTTAACGAATCCCTCCGACGTAACATAAAATTCTCATAAAAATGGTCAGAAATTATTTTAAATATCTTAATCGATACTCACAAATATATTTAACATTTCTCTTGGGGGGAGGGGGGGGGGGGGTGCTTGTAGTGAGATAAGGACAGACTAGAAATCTAAAGAGCAACTGTTCCAAACTTCAGGCTGCCATTGTCCAGTCTGAAATGTGATAATCTTCTGAGGCCCACCCAAACCCACTGTTAGAGCTTTGATCGTCACACAAGTGGAAAAATAAGTAATTTCTTTGTGTTATTCAGTTGGATCTTCTGACAATTTACTTCTTTAACTTAAAATTCCAACAACAGCTTCCCCCCCAACTAATGTAAGTTATGTATAAATTTTAAAGCGCCATGACCCTGTTTTATTACTTCAGTTTCTTTTCAAAACATCAATATTTCAGAGTGACTTTAAATTATACATTTTAAATGGATTTGAATTACCCCAAAAGGATTATCATTTGATTTGGACTATATAAGTGCATCCTAATAGGTTCATTAAGTTAGAGATAACTAATAATTTACTTATTTATTGTAAATGACCTCTTGCAGCCCTTAAGATCCTACATAAAGAGCGATATAGCAAAGAGTATTACCTGTTAAACTGCTGATGTTTTTAAAAGATAAATCCACTGGAGCTGCATACATAGTCACCCGCCAGCAGGGGGAGATGATGTTACGGTGAAGTACTGCGTTTAACAAGAACGTCTTTAAACACAGCACGATCATAAACACAAACAGCACGAACGAAAAGTTTGTGATATGAGTGAATAACACACACTCACTGCTGCAGATAATGAATTTAAAGCTTCTGTAAAAGCACCATAAACGTGTCATGATCTGTCAAGTCATGCTAAGTATGCTAAGCAGCACATTTGAGCCATAAACGATATTTCTAACCATACTGATCAGTTTTAATCATTTATGTGGATATTTCACTTACCCAGAGTGTAAGGTATATTATACAGCTAATACACGTCACGGTGGCACAGCTTCCAGTAATGAGACAACAATTCGTTTCTATAGAAACGACCGAGTGCCATATGGAACTTGTAGTCCAAGCCAGTCTTGCCAAACGGCAGACATCTTGAAGCACTTTTTTGTGCAAAATGCAATGAAATGAACTAAATCTGTTTGAATCATCTCTACCATTTTGGATCTGTTTCGTCTGAATGTGGATCTGTCCGTTTCAGCTTCCTTACAGGAAGTTAGCAATGCTAAAGAAATGCTGGAAATGTGGACTGTGCTTGGATGAAAAATTCAAACTTTAATGAACAAAATTAAGTAATATGATGAGTAAAATATTTTTTAAAAAGCCAATGGTGAGACAATTTTCTAAAAACAGACTATTTACACAGAAATGAACACTGTTCTGATCATGTATATGAGTTAATATGATGAATTTAATTTAATTGCATGACATTAATGCAAACGTTATTTAACTGTATGTATGAACATAACATATTTAGCTTCATACATGCAGCTAAATAGCCTCCCTATGAATATTCATTGTTGTTACCATCAAATTCGATATCATGTACTCGAGGAAAAAAACATGAAAAAACAAAACTGGGAGGGGTATCGAAACGCAGTCCACTATGCGTTTTGAGGAGAAAATTACATAGAGCAAAGAAAAGTTTAACCCTTTCATGCATGAATTATGATGATGTCAATCAGGATTTCTTTTCTTAAGTATTTTTATTCATCTTTAGGCATAAAAAGATGAATAAAAATACTTAAGAAAATAAATCCTGATTGAGGTTGTCATAATTCACACATGACAGGGTTAAATAACAATAATTACAATGAAACACATACAGTAACATTAAACGACCAGTGGGTGGCAGGGTATGGAGTGACACATTAATGCCCAATGTAGTGGTTTATGTGCAAGTATACCATCAACACTGACACAATAGCTGTCCACTGTAGTGACCAGTATGTGTGAAAGAGTTATTTGGAGTGAACAAAATTCATTGCTGCGTGCAAGAAATGTATTTCAGTGTCTGCTATTTATCCATACACACACACAATAACAGCCCCGCTCTCTCAGTTGTTGGCATTTGCTCTCGCTCAGATCTCTGCTCTATGTGCTGACGGACATCTGCGGACCTGCTCTCAGTGTGTTGCTCCTGCTCTCAACATCTCTGCACCCTCAACTTTTTCTGTACTCGTTATAAATGTGCGACAAAACCAACTGATCACAGACTTGGGTGCAAAAACTCTGATTGGCTGTTTTGGTCTCCAATCAGCTCGGTAGCTACTGCATGCCGGAAACACTGTCCAAAGTGTAGTTAAACCCATTTTCGGTTAGTATGTTATTTTATTTTAAATATGTAATTTTTTAAGACTATTGTTAGTTTTAATCTAATTTAAACCAAACCACTCCACTGGATTTAGCTACACTTTGTGAATATTTGATGTGGTACAGATGGAGAAGGCTGTGAGTCATTCCAGCAGGCAGAAGCAACTTCTCCAGAAAAGCAAAGAGGAGGTGGATGCACTAAAATGTTCTCTACAGGTCAAAGAGTG